CAGCCGCATCCCCAAGGGCAAGCTGCAGAGCGCCGACCACTGCGACCTGGTCAATCACCTGCTTGACCACTACCCAGAGCCCTACGCGGTGGAGCTGACCTTGCGCGTGCTGGAGGCCATCCCCAAGAAGCGCCTGGTCTGCATGCTGAAGAGCTCCGTCTACCCAGGTAGGAGCGGCGCGGCGCGGCGATAACACGAAAGCCAGCCGCTTCTACACCGACACCTCGACCACGACAACAACCACAGCGGTTGGGCCAGCGGGGGCTACTGGGATAGTCAGCTTCTCTAGAGGAGAGGGGCACTGCCTTCTCCAACACGACTGCGGGAATGTTACTGACACCCTGTCAGGACCTCGGTTTGATGACTCACCCAGAAGGCGCTATACAGCACACAGTCTCCTGTCACTGGACTTGGGCTGCTGGTTATTGGTTTATTTAGTTATTGGTTTAGAATTTCGGTTCCAGGCGGAGGACAGAGTGCCTCTTATTCTGAAAACCCCTCCTCGCCCCGCCTCACCGCTCCTACCTGGGTAGACGGAGCTCTTCAGCATGCAGACCAGGCGCTTCTCATTGGCGAAGCGGTGGCTCTGTGGCTGAGGATCTGCGCCTGTGGCTGGAAGGTTGCCGGTTCAAATCCAACTTACACCTTCTCCGGCCGGCAGAGGAATCCAACTCCGTTGGGCCACTGAGCAAGGCCCTTAACCCCAACTGCTCCAGGGGCGCCGTACCCTGCGCTCTGACCCCCAGGCTCTCTTCCTATCTGTGCGTCTGTGTGTCTCATGGAGTGCAAGCTGGGGTATGCGAAAAGATGAATTCCTAATGCAAGAAATTGTATAGGGCTAATAAAGAAACATTATTATTACTGGTGTTCCAGCATCACTGCAGCAACATGGGTGTCTCCCATCTCAGTGCAGGCCAGGCCCAGCCTTGTCAAACCTTTAGGATCGATGTAGGGAGGCTGGAGGGAAGAAGAGTTGCTGGCAAAGCAGTCGATACCCACATGGATCCAGATGGAGAACCTGGAAGCAGTCCACTGCCAGCATTCCAGTAAACCCACTTCATAAGACTCTCCCTCCTCTCAGTTCTCCAGAACAGCAGCTGTGATTCTGCAGACCAGGACTGTGCATTACCTTTGATAAAGTCAGACACACAACGTTAACCCAGGGGGTGTCCTGTAAGAGCTGTGCACGGGCTCACACTCAACATCCCTTCCATCCAGACTTGTGCAGCTCTCTTCCACTGTCGAGACTGTCCAGTGTTCAGTCAAGACTGGTACACAGCTGTCCTCAATTACAACTGACTGAACATGACTGAACACAGCGTGTGTGTATCAAAGGTGCAAGAGCACAGCCATAGACGAAACACCTTTACCTTCAGAGAAACTGACACAGCTGAGATGCAAGAGAGATGATGTGACTGATGGAATGGGCACCAGATATCGACAAGTTTATATCAGTTATCCAGGGAGTGATTGCTTTATTATTTGAAATCAATATACCCGTCTAGTCCAACCACTTTAAAATATATGGTAACAACCCCTTAACAGCCTTGAAAGAGCCTGTACAGTATCTTGTAAAACCTGAAATGTCTCAGTACAGCTCTGGTCTCATGTTTATGTATACCGATGCATAAGGGAGACTTTGTATTAACAAATGTCTTTTCTCTTGTTTTCAGAATACAGTTTGAACTCTTATAAACGAGGTGAGTTTGACTTCCCTTTCCTTTCCCGAGATGCAGCTGATTGCTGGTCTAGCAGATTGAGCAGTGCATGCAGGAGTCACAGAGCAGTGCTCTTCAGACCTGGAGGTCCTGGGGGTCCTGCACCGCAGGTCTTACGGGTCACCCCTAAACCAGCACTGTGTGAATCTGGTTCGATTGAGTCAGGAATGAGATGGGCAGGGGGTCTGGTCTGTCATGCCAAATGGACTTGAAACTGCTGAATCGGACAAAACGCCTGCTTACTGTAAGTGAGTGCTTCGACAAAATAGACCCAGGACTTGACAAATGGATGATTTGGGGGTGAGCCACGAATCCCGCTGGATGGGAGATCTCCGAGGTCCAGGGTTGGTCACCGGAGTAGTACGGGGACACATCCTCTAGAGCTGGAACAAGTCAACCAGTGGCTTCAAGGGAAAAGGCAGGTAGAATGATTTACTTTTTTAATGCCTCCAAAACAGACAACACTAATGACTATCTCTGCTGTCTTTACAGCTCACTTTAACAGTGAATATGTGACCTGGGCCTTCCGTACTGTGCTGTTGGTAAGTAAGAAGGCACCCTGGTGCTCTTCAGTAGAAATATCTGTTAGTTTCAGAGTTAGGTTTGAGGTTTCTGAGGTTAGGGTTAGAGTTACCGTCCCGGTTTAGAATAGGGGTTGCATTTCAGACAGGAACCCCTTGAATGACTTTCACCCAACGAAAATCAAGTTCAACAGGGGCCGAGCTGAGGTTTGTTCAGCTGCAGGAGCTCTGATCGACGTCACACAGAGAGCAGCTCGCAGACAGGCCCTGATCTTGGGGACCCAGGGCGCTGTCCTCAAGTCTGACACATCCTCAGAATGTTTTAAAAACATCACCTAAGCAGTTGTAGTTGTAGCAGCTGTGTGATGTTCCCAGTTGTGTGACATTCCCTGGAGATATAGCCATGATGATGATGATGTTAATACGCTACAGCTCATCCGGACAGAATGGACACTGTCCAGTGTTGCTCAAGAGGTGACCAGGCCTGGTCCTGGTGACCCACGACCCAGGAGGTCATGGAGGTCACCCTCAAATATTTTTAAATTCATTTTCAGCTCTGAAAGCTCTTAAAAGGTTGAAGGGGATTGGTCATTGGGATCACCCCTGCACCAGTTTCCAGCTTGCAGAGGTCGTCTTGTTCATGCAGGCGTGTTGCCTGAAATGGAACCAACTGATCTCTGTGGAAAATAAAAACACACTTGTTCTGGGAAGTCTGACTCTGTCATTCCCACCTGTGTCTGCTCTTTACAGTTTTTCACCTGTGTCTGCTCTTTACA